AATTGTTGTCTCTTTGTTGTAATTGATGTTATGCCTTGGGTGAACAGGTGTGCGTTGGCGGAGGTACCAGTCCTTGCACCTACAGCTAATTTAAGGGCAATTGTTAATGTATTTGCATTTGTTTGCTATTTATTGAAAAAGGGCAAATTGCTTGATGGACTCTGTCTGGAAGTTGAGGGACAAATAAGGTGAAGAAATATACAACTGATGAGCAAAAAAACAAATTAGCATTGAGCTTAGAGTAAATTAGGGATGGAAACAAGCCATGCAAAAAGTGGAAGAAAGATATGTTTGACTTGCGAGAGTCCGGTAGTTGATATTGTCTTGTATTCGTGACGAGGCTGTGTCGGTGTAGTTGTCGGTCCCAAACTGTGTTCATGCGTATGAACTCACAACGCCGTTTAGAAAGTGAGCAGATGGAACCTGTACTATATTTGGGATTACACTTTATCAGGAAAGTACTTGATTCTAGTACTGAGGTTAAGTCCCATCCGAGATCTCGAACCCACTCTTAGTGTGAGAGTTAGAGCGCTCTAATCCTGCCTTAGCGGACCCATCTGTTTGAATGACTTTAATGGATATGATAGAGCGGTGGGTAGCCAAGTGGGTAAAGCTGCCTCTCTGTCTCGTCAAGGTCTGGGTTCGATCACCACATGGGAACAATATGTGAAGCCCATTCCTGGTTTCTCCGCCCGCAGTGATATTGTTGGAATATTGCTAAACCCCAATTCAGTTACTTACTCACTCACTCAATAATGGATATAGTAAACTATGCTCCAAGATTGGGGTTTACAGGGTTGTTCTCTAGTCCTCACAAGGGTTGTTGGCGTCTTTTCCCTTCATTGATGTAGTGAAATGTGTTTGCCGGAGTTTTACTGAAAATCATACTCTCATCATGGGGAAGTGCTATATTCCAACGCATATATTTTCTTCGAATTCTGTTTGCCATTCTTGATAACATGTTCATATTATTTTATTGAAGCGAATTAGGACAATGATATGTTTGTTTCAGAATGGACTCCTTCCCCAAATGTGCTGTCTGTCAGCAGCAGTTTACCCCTGGAAGGGGACCTCGCTTCTACCTACCTACTGCCCTGTCTCACACGCTGTGTGTGTGGAGACGTGTGTGACATCTGCAGCTGGTGGTGTGATATCATGCTCTACATGTCAGAGGGAGGTCAACCTCACAGACACAAGCCTCCAGAAGGATGCAGTGAGACAGAAGGAAATATTCCACCTCGACGGTCAAACATCGCCCCACAGAGCTCTGTACAAAATGAAGATGACGGCAACCAGGCTGTGTTGCGTCCAGAATGTGAAGACTTCCTCTGTGAATACCGCCAGAACATGCACAACAGCAAGTTAAAGCTACCAGGACGACATGCTGTGTTGAAACCATTGTGGACACAGCACCAGGAGGCATGCAGGCTGAACCAGCTTGGTGCAAACTTCACAAGCGTTATCCTCTGGAATATTTTGACAAAAGCTGCAACATTTTAATCTGTAATGAAATGCAGACTTGGCGACCATGCTGAACACGACGTTGAAGACACTTAGACGTAGCTTCTGGACGCTGCCTCAAGGGCGGATAGAACAACATGGGAAGAACCTGACTGCACAGCATACTTCTCTACCAAGCATATTTGAAGAGTATCAGCAAAGCCGTGAATGACACCAAGAAGACAGCAGCGCTGTGGAGGAGACCATCCACCACACTTTCCATTCTCTGAGGACACAACTCGATCAAAGAGAGAAGGAACTGATCATCGATCTTGACAATCAGACGAAGCAGAAACTGTCAAATCTACACATTGAACAAGTTACCTCTGAAGGCGAGAGTGAACGATGCAAGTGGACCTCAGACTACATCAAGACAGTTCTCAGATATGCTTCTGAACTCCCCGGACTTTCTGACGCTCGAGAGTTCAATACAAGAAACAACGAAGACTTACCTCAGATCAGTTCCACCAGAGCTGCACCGTTCACCTGCAGCCGTCTTCAACATGAGAGGACTGGAAAATTGAAATCTGACATTTCTAAGTTTGGGTCTCTCGTTGGAGATGGATCAGCATCTGATGAACACACACTGAGGGGTACTTACTTACTTCGACTCCAATATGTCTCACATTTGATTTTTTTTCTTTCAGTATTTCCTAGCATACTGTCAAGTATTTCTTATCAGGCTTTGTCAGAAAAAAAAATGATAGCTTGTTGATGTTTCTCTTGACCATTCATTTAATTTGATTTTAAGATGGTGAGCTGATGCTAGTTCTATTCCTTTCTAAAAAAAGACTCGGTGAAACATAAAATGATCGATCTGTAACAATTGTTGGTTATTTTACAGACAGAGGTACACAGACAGATGACATCCATCTACCTGACCTTGAGAACACACTCAAGCACGTAAGTACTTCTTAGTAAGCATAATGTATATACGTCTCGTTGTCTCTGAGGTAATAATTATTGTCACCTGCGTACATATAATGTTCATATTGAACTTATGCTTGTATGTTAGAAGTGGAAACAAGCCTACTGTTTTGTGAATCTTCGATTGCGACATTGAAATACTTCCCTTTGTTTCAAGTTGAAGCTTCCAGAGGCCTCTAAGGATCCAACACCACTACCACAGTTTGGTGAGGTTATTTTCCTTTATTTTGCAAAACGTAAGAATGGAAAAATAGCGTTACTGTATGTGTCCCTTTACTTTCATGCCATAATATCAGAAGCACATACTTCTAACTCCTGTATGATTTAAACAGAAATAGTTATGAATGGGCAGAAGATGGACCCATAAGCCATTTATCCAAAGGATAGCTTAGTGATTAATATTTGAACAGATCTTGGTCTTTCATGTTGAGATGATATCAGTGATACTTGTACACTTAAGGGCAAAAAATCTGATAATGTTATCAATACCCGTTTCTAATGGACAGAAGCTGAGGCTAAACAATGTTTAAATGTGACTTTACTGACATTACAGGGACCCAGGTCTGTCTTAGCCGATACTTTGTTGTGTACAAAAGGTGGAGTACCTCTCATTTTGAAACAAAGAAAGTCCCAAATATCGAAGTTACTGTTATGTCCTAATGTGTATGAGCACGGCTATTTTGTTCTTCATGCTAGAGAATATTTTGCAGATGCGGGGACGAACACCTACAGTCTGGAATCAGGAACAGTGACCACGTTGACTCTGCAGTGTGAGTATAATCAGTTGCTTGTTTGGTGATGCTGAAACACCGATAGGTTACTGGATGAAGCGCTCTTTCCTGACGTGTGACGATGCTGTCAAGGTTTGCTGCTGAAAACCCTATGACAGTGTGGACCTTGTGTACCATTGGAACTGACAGGGGTATTGTTTTAGTGATCCCCATCTTCTGAACAACGAATATGGTACTGGGTGTATTCAGGTTTCCGTGTCTTCTGAACAAAGGATATGGTACTGGGTATTCAGGTTTCCAAGCTTCTGACCACAGGCTGTGGTACTGGATTTGGTCTTAAGGTTTGATCGTTAGACCACAGACTGTATTAGATGTCGTGATGGTGCCCGCCCTTTAAACACTCATGATAGTGCTCGGTGTAGTGATGTCCTCCTTTAAACACTCATTATAGCGCTGGGTGTAGTGATGCCCGCCTTTAAACACTCATTATAGCGCTCGGTGTAGTGATGCCCGCCTTTAAACACTCATTATAGCGCTGGGTGTAGTGATGCCCGCCTTTAAACACTCATTATAGCGCTGGGTGTAGTGATGTCCTCCTTTAAACACTCATTATAGCGCTGGGTGTATTGATGTCCTCCTTTAAACACTCATTATAGCGCTGGGTGTTATTGGTGATCGCCACCTTTAAACACCCATTATAGCGCTGGGTGTAGTGATGTCCGCCTTTAAAAACACTCATTATAGCGCTGGGTGTGGTGATGTCCGCCTTTAAACACTCATTATAGCGCTGGGTGTAGTGATGTCTGCCTTTAAACACTCATTATAGCGCTGGGTGTAGTGATGTCCTGCTTTAAACACTCATTATAGCGCTGGGTGTGGTGATGTCCGCCTTTAAACACTCATTATAGCGCTGGGTGTAGTGATGTCCTGCTTTAAACACTCATTATAGCGCTGGGTGTGGTGATGTCCGCCTTTAAACACTCATTATAGCGCTAGGTGCAGTGATGTCTGCCTTTAAACACTGATTATAGCGCTAGGTGTGGTGATGTCCGCCTTTAAAAGCACTCATTATAGCGCTGGGTGTGGTGATGTCCGCCTTTAAACACTCATTATAGCGCTGGGTGTAGTGATGTCCTGCTTTTAAAACACTCATTATAGCGCTGGGTGTGGTGATGTCCGCCTTTAAACACTCATTATAACGCTAGGTGCAGTGATGTCTGCCTTTAAACACTCATTATAGCGCTAGGTGTGGTGATGTCCGCCTTTAAACACTCATTATAGCGCTGGGTGTGGTGATGTCCGCCTTTAAACACTCATTATAGCGCTCATGATATGCTTTTAAACGCTGGGTGCGCTGTGGTGATGTCTGCCTCCTAAACACTCATTATAGCGCTGGGTGCAGTGATGTCCTGCTTTAAACACTCATTATAGCGCTGGGTGTGGTGATGTCCGCCTTTAAACACTCATTATAGCGCTGGGGTGCAGTGATGTCTGCCTTTAAACACTCATTATAGCGCTAGGTGTGTGATGTCCGCCTTTAAACACTCATTATAGCGCTGGGTGTGGTGATGTCCGCCTTTAAACACTCATTATAGCGCTGGGTGTAGTGATGTCCGCCTTTAACACAATAATATGGTACTGGATGTTACGGTCTTGCTTGTTCTTTAAACAAAGCTGACACGTTACTTGGTGTAGTGATATCCAGCCTGGTTTTATATAGGGGTTCTGTGGTACTATGTTTTACTATTTAATTTCGTTTTAACACCGGGTGAGTGAGGTTAGTTTTACGCCGCACTCAGCAATATTCCAGTTATATGGTGGCGGTCTGTAAATAATCGAGCCTGGACCTGTCAATCCAGTGATCAACAGCTTGAGCATCGATCTACGCAACTTGGATACGAGTTGTGTCAACCAGGTAAGAGAGCTTGACCATCCGATCCCGTCTGCTGCCTCTTACGACAAATATTGTTCACACTTGTGGGAAAACCAAAGGGTACATATTATAGTGTTGAAAATAGGGAGAATCTTAGAGAACAACTCTACACAGGGCGGGGCCACAAACCACAAAATGAAGTCTTGGATGCAAAATACTATCAAGTTTTATGACATGCTCAACTGAATTCCTTATGTGTATATTTTTAAATGAAGAATTATATAGTCATTTCTTAATTTTAACAAGCAAAACATCTCAGTGATCAACAAAGCAAACTTATAATATAAAACAAGCAAAATTCCACCTATATGGTAGCGGTCTGTAAATAATCGAGTCTGGGCCAGAAAATCTTGTGATCAGCAGCATGAGTATCGATTTACGCCATCGGAATACTATGACATGTGTCAACTAAGTCAGCAAGTCTGACCACCCAATCCCGTTAGTCGCCTGTTACGACAAGCATGGGGTATTATCAATTCTAACCCGGATCTTCACGGGTGTGTAGCACTGACATGGTGTTACACGCCCTTTAAACAATAGGCATGCCACCGGTTCTAGTTTTTGGTAAGCCTGTGCAGTTTTATCGTCATGAGTTTTGGGGTGAAGAATTATTGGCTTTGAATATTGAGAGTTTTAACGTCTTGTCATTTCCGATACTGTTTCTAGAAGATGTAACTTCCGTATGTATCAACAGAATCCATATTCCCCTATATCATTCCAAAGCCTGGGACGTATCGTTATAGACAGTGAACCATCAGCTGGAGGAAGCATGGGTCTAAAATTACATGTGTTTATTTTGTGTTGGCGCTTAGAGTAGGTGGTAAATATATTTGTAACTGAAGCTAGGACTATGGACACTCCACTAGGGTTTTGCCGAGGTGACCACTGAAGGTTAGCCAGACTGGGCGTCACGGAAGACATGGGATGTAATATGAATGTGTCTACAATGGGTCACCGAAATGCGTGTTTACTCAAGGAGATGTGTATTCGCAGCGATTGACTTACTCATGAATAGATGTACTTGACTTATCCTGACCCACAGAATTCAGTGTACTTGTAGGGACTCCAGTTGGAATTTGCCCCCAAAACTATTACGAATTTAAAGGGGCGTCATATGGATGTGCAATCAAAAAGCCGACGCACACTATGAGGGTCTACCTGGTTCTCACTAACTTGATCTGACTGGTCTACTGTCCCGTTGTATAATGTCTAAACCAAGGCCCTAAATCACCACAAATTTGTTTCATTATCTTTGTTAACATTTAGAACAAATTCTTGGCTTTTGTTTATTGTAAAATAACCCATTGTCGGTGTCAGTTTGTGTCAATCAGTGAGATGAAAGTCTAACGTTATAACAGGAAGATCTGGGATTTGATGAGCTGTAATAAATATTATACTTTAGAAACATTTATACTTTGCGAAAATCGCTTTCATATAATAAATGAGTCATTTCAGATCGACCTAAAGCAGATATTTCAATTTAGTTTTGAGAAACTAAACTGAAATACTTGATAATTATTAAAGGGTGAGAGTTTATACACATATAAGGATATTGACTTAAATGAGCATAACACAGACTAAAAGATGATTGACGACAGTTAAACTATTTGCATATGAAATAAACGTTTTTCATATCACAAAATGTTCGCCCATTAATTAAAAGTCAAATACCTGTGATAATGATCGGCCAGGTTGTCAGTCCTCCCGGTGATATTATATTTGATTCTTTCTTGAAAAAATCTGAAACAGACCTCCTTGACATATACGAAATTGATAAATTCAAACCCATCTTTAATACTTCCATCTGTCCCAGCCAATACACATGACTCGACCACCTCCCCACACAGCGAGTGTGTTGAAACTGGGCACAGTGATTGAAGCGGACGTAGAAGTTACCTATTGACACTGTGTCTGGTGAACACTCAGATGTAAAAATATCATCAAACAACTGCTTTTTATATCTTATTGTTTAGTAAACTGTATAAGAAGAGTTTAGAATACCAACAATAATAGTTTTATCATGAAATGATTTTTATACACATGGGTTTTCATACGGAAATGTCTATTTCTGACTACTGACAGCAAACCAGCTCAACTGACAGTGTCTGACAAAATGTTTCATGGAGTGTTTATTTCAGTGTCAGTCAATATTAAACTGTATGAAAAAACATTTAGAATACCCATACAAATATTTTCACAGTATAATTGTGTGTATTTAAGTGACAGTGGTGATACAATTCACACACAGGCGAAAATGGCGGCCGATCATTCAGTGCGCTGTTTTGTAAACATTGAAACGAGGTTGACAATAACATGACTAATTTGTTGTCTGAAGTCGGGAAATTTGTTAAACTGTAAACAAAATGTATATTTCCAGGTCCTAAACTACAACTGAACGCTGCTCGAACCAACACAGACTGGTGCCACGTAACTACAGTCGGTCAGCTGGTGAACTCGCCGCCCGCCACACAACACAGACACAGCGGCAGGTTACGGACATATTGGGGTACATGTGCCTCCACCCCCATCCCCCTTCCTCCATCCCCCTCTACTGTCACCCCTGTCCCACACACACCACGATACTGGGAGACACACTCTAGGGTGGGTGTGGTGAGTGGAGGGTGGTGGGGGTGGTTTGTCCTGGAGATGGGTGTGGTGGAGGAGAGCCAGGTAGACAGTATGTGGTGTGTTTGTTACCAGCACCGCTCCTGGTGTGTCAGTGTAGAGAGATGTTGCACACACCAGGGGAGTCTCTGTACCAGGGTGTGGCAGCAGGGGGAGGGGGGGAAGTGTTACAGTAACACAATGTCTGACACACGCGGCACACAGGCCACCCTCCACTACGGCGTTGTGCTGGATGTGGGGAGGGGGAGACTCGCCTTCATCGACCTCGACAGAGAGGTTGTATTAGCCAAGGTGGATGTTGAGTGGAGCGAGTCTCTTCTTCCCATGTTTGGTGTTGGGTCGCTAGATGTCTACACAGTCAACATGAAGGTGATAAGTGGGGCAGATATCACCATGACTGACACCAAGAAGTCACTTATCTATGACGCCTTGAATTAGACAATGAAATAAACATGACATTGTGTAAACTTGTAAGTGTGACTTATTTATTTCAACTGTCAAATGTAATTGTAGTGATTGAGGCGGACGTATAAGTTGTCTGTCTATGTGCTGTTTGTTGTGGACAAGAATGTAACGAAGTCAGTTAAATGTGTTGTTTTACTGCTTGACTGGAATCTCCTGTGTATAAGAAAGATTTTACATCCACACATGACTATTGTTATGATTATTATTCTGCAGTAGTTGACCAGTTTATCATACATTTCATACATGTCTGGGAAATATCACAACAAATAACTGAGTCACAAATTCATCAAAAGTTGTTTCAAATCATGAATTTATCGCCATGTTTCGTGTCTTCTCTGTAATACAAATGTTTTAAATCCCCACATGAATATTGTTGAGATGAAATTATTGTAGTTGTGAATCCACATACGCCACAGTTGATGTCAGTGAAGAAATATGATGAAAGTGATTGAAGCGGACATAGAATGTCCCCGTTTACATGTTGTGACGTATATTCAGAAATACAATCAAGTTAGCAGAATCTTTTATTTTCCTAATTAGTGGATTCTATTGTCACTAAAATGTATTTCAAATCCACACATGACTAGTTTATAGATTAACTGAAGCAGAAATGTCAGACTTAGAGGGGTACTGGCTTCTTCCCAGTTGTCAAACACTGTCCGCTAAAGTTCATCAACTGCCATAGGTCGATTTGCCGGATAAAGTAACTGAGTGTGACGTGAGATTGGGCTGCCGTCTGTAAGGACAGCGGAAATATACTTGGACACATTATGTCTTCACATTTCTGAACAATGAAAGTGGTCAAATGTAATCTATTTAATATTTAGGATTACATTTTCTCCGTTTCTTTGGGGGATTGAGTCCCAAGTGGTATCGTTATAAGGTAAACATGCATCCCTATATCAGTAGAGAATTACGTCAGATTCCGTATATAGATATAGATTTGCAGTTTGACTCATGAGTGATAACGGTTAGACAGAAAGTCTAGAGAGAATGGCGTTTAGCCATAAGTTAGAAATATATCCGTCGTGAGAGACAGAACACAATAACAAATCAATAAAGAGGGGAGAGTAACCGAACGTTACTTACCGATACTTTTCCATCATAATATTCATGAGTGCTAGGACGGATACAGGATTAACGAATCAAAACGATGAGTTGAAACATGTGATCAAGATCAGGCCAGGCTCGAACCATATAAATAGACAGGTTGGGCACTGAGCGACTGGTGCGCGCTTTAAAGTGACGGAAGCCAGTCCACGCTACTCAGTCTCCCCGTGTGGTACGAGCCTACCCTAACTGTTGGTGAAGTTGTATTTAGAAATGGACTTAGACAGAGAAAAAAAACTATGTGGGTATAACTTGGTGTTGCGTTTATCTATGAATGTATGTGTGCCAGAATGTAATGCGGTTAGTTAGGTGTCCATGGCCTCCTCTCACAAAGCACTTAGATGATCGTAAGTTACTGAGCCACAAGTAGTAAGTAACTGTGGTAGGGTTTACTAACGCCCAAACGCCAGTTACGACAGTATTCATAGATTGACAGATCAATTAAAGGGGGTTAAGGGGCAACTGTTGATTTAAATTATGTTGGTATGTGTGACGTTTTTTTTATAATAACTTTGAAGAGCATCTAATTTAAAGAATTTTGGAGGGTGGGCCCGTAAGCATCCTTAGGGGACTTGGTCGCTTCGGTTTATTTCTTCGAAATGGATTTACTTATATTTATAAGAACCCTAGTTGTGTCCTTGCAATATGAACCGCTATATATAGAAAGATAGAGGCCATTAATCTGTCACCAGTGACAATTCCTGTGTCATAGGAAAATAGGACTCACTATTTACAAGTCACGTCAACCCATAAGGCTTATCAAATACAAAAAGACATTATTCCGGCTATATGGCGGTGATCTGTAAATAATCAAGTATGGGCCAGACAATCCAGTGATCAACAGCATGAGCATCGATCTACTCAATTGGGATATGACGATATGTGTTACCATGTCAGCGAGTCTGACCACCCGATCCCGTTACTCGACTTTTACGACAAGCATGGGTTGCTGAAGACCAATTCTAACCCGGATCTTAACAGATCCGATTATTTACTGTGTGACGTCACACAGCTGGAATATCCATAGTGCTGCGCAAACCCTCTTAGCTTCCTGGGAACAGAATATTGAAAGCTTCTGATGTTTCGATTGTATTACACGTGAAAGTTGCTCTTTGTTTGATATGTTATCATCGGTCGTGGTTGAATCAGTAACAGCCTATTTTCAAAATCACTGATTCTCCATCTACTCGATAGATACAACATAACTTTATCTCTTACAAAACCTGAACTGTCTTCACACATATTTTAACAAAGTGACAAAGGTCACCGACCTGTATCCCGTCTCGCTCACTTGCCTTGATATAATATAAAGGCTGTGTTAACTCTGTTGTTGTTTTTGGTAACATCTACATAATCCCTGAGCGTACAGTCAGTATGTAAAGTTATGCATAAGTATTTTCAGTATCATGTCAGTTAGCTCGCTTGAGCATCGGATAATATACCCTATGAGAACATGTTGTTATCATTAAGACATACATGTCTACAACAAGATTTCAGTCTGTATTCACTCACTTATACACTGAGGCTTCTGCGTGAATCACGTTAATGAGTTTATGATGATGATGATGTTTTATATACAATTGTACATTGAAATGGTAACTGGAATGTATGGAATCAATGTTTGGGAAATGATATTACGTCAACGCCAGGCAATAACCAGATTCGATGATCTGCCAACATTGATTCCATCGGCATATGAGGCAAAATATTAATAATAATTATATAAATACTTCGGAGTTCGTGGAAACAAAGTAAGTGGGTTTAGTTTTACGCCGCTTTTAGCAATATTCCAGCAATATCCCATCGGATAACACCAGAAATGGACTTCACACATTGTACCCAAGTAGATATCGAACCCGGGTCTTCGGCGTGACGAGCGTACCCTTTAACCACTAGGCTAGCCCACAACCTCGACGACAAAAAGCATGTCCTAAGCTACAGGTAGTACCCATCACTTACTCAATGTACATACACACATGGCCTTCAAACAATGGAGCCCAGAACGCAGGTGTTAAAATGTCAATGTATTCTACGTCCATGCTGGGAGTACATTAAGACTTTCAACGTGAATGATGAGTGAGTGAGTTTGGTTTTACGCCACTTTTAACAATATTCCAGCAATATCGGGGCGGGAACACCAGAAATGGGCTCCACACATTGTACCCATGTGGGGAGTCGAACCCGGTTCTTCGGCGTGACGAGCGAACGCTTTAACCACTAAGCTACACCACCGCCCCCACTTGAATTATGAGGTCACATGAGGTGGAATACCCAGATCAAAAAGTATTAGTTCAAATACCGTTTACATCGAACATTTGGGAGGTGGGATGTGGTCAGTTACAATTAATGATTGTCGATTCCCAACAAGGATGCCCGTTTGTTGTACCTGATATTCCTGGAAAATTTCGAAAAGCAGAACAAAACCATGCTTACTCTCTTATCTTCACTGACAATGTTGTACGCTTCTTCTGTTAGAATGCTGATCTGGATCTGTTTATTGTGCCTCTTTATCAAATGTCGAGAAACCGACATAACCAGCAACCATGGAGAGACAGCTGGTATGTGCAACAAATCTCGATTCCTGCATTATTGATGAGTCCGTCCAAGAGGTGCTGATACTACAGAGGACACGTGTCAGAATGAAATCAGAGCCCCATGAAACAAGGGACAGAGTGAGTGAGAGAATGAATTTAGTTTTACACCGCGCTCAGCAATATTCCAGGTATATGGCGGTGGTCTGTAATTAATCGAGCCTGGACCACACAATCCAGTGATCAACAGCATGAGCATCGATCTGCGCAATTGGGAACCGATGACATGTGATCAACCAAGCCAGAGAGCCTGACCACCCGATCCCGTTAGTCGCCTCTCACGACAAGCATGGGTTACTGAAAGTACATTCTAACCTGGACCTACACGGGTCAAGGGACAGAGATGGAGTCTACGATGATAGGAAGTAGAAATGGTATTTCTGATTATCCTTCTCACTTATGCGATTTCAAGCAACACATGGAATCTCCTATTTAATATATTTACCTTTTATGAACTTGTATGAAAAGAATATAATATTTGTCCATTATTTGAGGACAATTACGTCTTTATTAAACGTGAATATAATTGTATACACAATCAACAATATTTACATACCTGCTGCAGCGATATAAGAGTCTCTATCACTACGTCGCATCATCTGAATACGGACGTTGTTCATCCATAAAGTTTGTCCTAATTTGAAAAATATTCTTGAATGCTTTCCACCTCATCATGATCAAATAACAAACTATGAAAATAACAGTCTCTATTGACGAGTTTAATAAAATATTAACCAACAGCGGATACAGTTTTTGAGGAGGGCGTACGATTTCTATAATGGCTGGAGTACATCTGTGCTAAAATATCTGTGCTGACATTTGAGGGACAAATGTGGTATTGATAACCTAACCAGACAACCAGACCAACACAAACAAAAATTATAATTTTGTTTGTCATAACGTGCCGATCAGTGGTAATTTCTGTATGCATATATTAATATTTTAGAGCGATACTAATATATTGCAGAAAGTCGACTATAGCTGTTTCCAGTACAAGACACGTACGATTAAAGTGAAATAACGTATAGGGTTGTAACTACTGGAAATAAATCGTCCTGTCAGTGTTACTCAACACTAAAACTACGTCTTGATCTTTACCCGACAAAAAACTAAGCCCTCAGCAGCTCCTACACGTGCACGTGAGCGTGGTCTGACCTTACTGCAGCTATAGAAACAACAATGAATGACATGATCAACCAGTTCTATATCCACGACAGGAAACTAAACAGAACAACCACAGTTCAGAACAAAAAGTCAACCACTTGAAAATATCTTTGGTGGCATTCAGTAACAGTCATTAT